TTATTTAGTCCTCCATTTTCATATGATCATTTTCCAGTCTTAAATCAATGTAAGACTTTGTAACTCCTGGTAACTCTTAAAAGTCTTTAACTGTGACCAACAGATTAATTGACAAATCATTTTAATTATTTCATTTACTGCTTTATTTGGTGGTTAGAGCTGGTTCTGACAACTTGTACGAAATGGGCGAATGGAGTTGGAAACCCACCAAACATTTAAGATATACAGAGTTTGATGGACATATTTCTGGCTTAGAAAGTAAAACTTCTGCTCAAGCAGAAGTACCTCATTAATTTTAATGGGACTTGTATGGGATTATGCCAGAGCAGATTCAACTTGACACATCCCAGCATCTGTAGCTTCATTTTCTTGTGGCCATGTGCTATTCTGCTGCAATAAATGGTTCAAATGCATCAGCCTCTTTCAGTCTGAAACTATTTTGGCACAGCTGCTTGTAGTGATAAACAAGGAATTTGGCTGTCCTACCCATTCTCTGAACTTCATGGTACTGCATTGTGTTAATTACGTTTCAGTCTTATTTATAAATTGCAGTGGTTTACTTTGTCCAGTAAGTCCTTCACAAACCCAATAATCTCACTGTTCTTTCAGTGTCATAAATCCCATTTCTGAACTTTTTCCAATTCATCTCCTACAGGAAGCTGATTTCCAAAGGGGCTGAGCTCTGCCAGCTCCTGTGGAGATGTGTGGCTGCTCTTCCCCACACTGCAGTGTGCTTCTCACGAGGTGAAAGACCAGCAGTTGCCAGAGACCTGGCAGCACTGGGAAAAGGTCCAAGAATAAATGTTTGGTGGAGCCGATGGAGCAGCAGGACCAGTCCTTTGAATCCCAGAATCTTGCACAGGCAGGGAATGCAACATATTATCAACATGAAACACCTAAAGAAAAACAGTGGTGATAACAAAAGAATGATATCATGACAAAATGTGAGTCATCAGGGCGACCGGGGTTGGCCACCCTAATTGACGCATAGACTATGTAATAAGAGCCCTGAGCAGCTCTTGAAATGCAAAAGGCATTTGAAAATTTTACATTTTTCTGTTCATCTGTTATTGTCTTGACATGTGACATGATGGTTGGATGTAGAGAGGTTGGTATGACACGCCATATAAACTTCAGCGATGGCCTCAACCAGTAAACAGATTGGGAAGAGATGGCAACAAACAGCTCAATGAACAGCCAGACCATAACGGAAGTGTCTGAAAAATCCAGGTCCCACTTTGGTGCTTACATGACCTCCATCTAATATGACATTTTCTTTTGTGCTGGTTTCAGTAATTCTTCTGACAGAAAGCCCCACGTTGTACCCGAAGCTCACTGCTGGACATACGATCCCAAGTGGTTCTTACAGTCCTGACTTCTTGTGGTGGCAGAAATCTGGAATCCTTCTAGCAAAGCAAACAAAGCTTTTATCTTTGGGAGAGGCAGTTGGGAACATTTCTGAGATGTGAAGGGTGTGTGTGAGATCTGAAAGGCAGAGGGAGCCAGGAGGTATCTTCTCTATAGGAAATACTTGGTGACCGGGTGGTGTAGCATTCCTCTGAGATTATGAACCACTCTTTCCACTGTTTACAGCAAACACTTGAATCATGCTTTAACAGCAGAGTCAGGTGAAGTTCTGCCTTGTTTTGGGTTTGCTGTAGTTTATGGTTTACTGTTGAATCAAACCTCATGAACATTTTTGGCTTTGAACACTGAAAATGCTCTTTGCTGCCTGAAATAGGCTGTGTGCACAAAGAAGAGTAAAAGGGGTGTAGGTGTGAGGAAAGGAGCTCTCTTTGGCCATGCAGAGCCCCTCTTCAGTTGGCCATTTGAGCACAGCTGTGTGTGAACGCGTTGGAGGTGGGTTGGACATGGAGGCCCATCCCTCCAGCTCACATTCCTGCTGACACTGAACTCTTCCACACTCACAACAAGAGATCGAGTGGTTACACAAAGGTGTGCCCTGGGTTTAGGACTTGGCCCTCATTAAAATTTTATGGCCTTCCCTCTCCTTACAAACTGGCAGGTCTACTTTGGGAAGGCTTTGTAAAGCCCTGACTCTGTCTCTTGGTGAGTTCGGCAAATGATGGACAAGAAAAGAGCAGGGTGCTCACAGAAGGTTTTCCTATTCATTTGCAATGGAATTGCTTTTGTATGTTGCTCTTCACTTTGGCATTGAGTCTTTTTGACTGGAAGAGGAACTGGTATGAAAAAAGGCCTGCCTTAAACATCCTCAGCTGAGAGCTGAACGTGGCACAGTTCAGCTGTCTTTTCTGGACCTTCAGTCTGTCTGGGCTGTGGTAGAACCAAATTAGAGGAGCTGTGGAGGAAACATAAAGCCTTTGTGCCTCCTGCAGTCAGGAGTTGTGGGATACCAGCATTGTCACCGGTGCGAGTCTGAACTTCAGGGGTTAGAAGAACTTTTCTTGATAGTCTGGGAAGACGGTGCATGTACCGAGATGGGCCCTCTACAGTCCTCCTCCTAGGAACCTCATCTCCAAAGCCCCAGTGAGGATCTCACAGCAGCTCTGGTCTCTTCCTGCTCAGAGATTCCCTCTCAAGAAATGCATCCTCTCTGCACCCCTCTCTGGTGGACCTAACAAATGGGCTTTGTGCTCCCTTCAGTCCTGACAGCCCTTGCCTGTGGCCAAGGGGAGGAGGTTGCAGAAGCTGTGCTCTCCCTCTTGGCTGACAGTCTCAAGGGAGTGTTTCTCTTGGCAGGGAGAAATGGAGTAGGGAACAAAAAATAGCTTGTTTCTTATTTCCTGAGTCATTGCTGTGTCTAGGTTTCTTTCTGCACATGCTGATAAAATTGTGCAATGTAGGTTTTGGGTCCTTTCTTATCCTCTCTCTCTCCCATGAGATTTCTAGATACTCCCTTTAATGCATTATTCTGCATATGGTTCCCATCCACAGCTCAAACCCGTGCGAATAAGGAGAACATACTCTGTGCACTCAGGCTGAGGAGCCCTACAACTGCCTGCTCCTCTCCTTGATTTACCTATCCTTATCCTATCACTTTAATTTTTATTGGTATTCCATTTTTTTTCTTTTTTAATCTTTTAGGGAAGGGAATTAAAAAAGGCAGCCAGGATCTCAGCTCTAAGGAGGGCCAGAAAGAAGCAGGACAGGAGAAGCCTGCAATGATGGGGATTCTTCACATTCCTCTAGAGCCTGGTAGGACGATTTAGGGATTAAAATCCATGACAACAAAGAGAAATAACGCAGCTTTCCAAGACTTGGAGAGCCATTCAATATATAATAACCTGCAGCATGCAGAAAGCTGGGAGACACCAAGCTGGGCTCAGCAGTGAAATCACTGCCCATGGGTGGTGCCCATTGGGGTTCAGAGAGAATAAATCCAGCCCTCATAATCTATCATGTATTTGAGGAACTCGGAAAAACAGGCTTTTCTGTTAGGTTTTGTCTTCACTGCTGAAAAAGGTGTGTTCCTCTTGTGAAACAATCAGTGCGTGTTAACTCACCTGCTGTAAAATCCTGGAGGAAGTAGTTTTATGAAGAGATATAGAAGCAGGGCTAAGTCAGCATGGGCAGAAAGAAAGTATGCAACCACAATAAATAAATAAATTACAGTCTCATTGTTACTTTCACTGTAAAGGTTAATTTTTAAAGCAGATTGAGAAGACAAACTTGTTAGGTCTGTGCCTAATAAGGGCATTGAAATGCCACCTTACAGATGCCATGATGGATCTGCTCAGAATAAATTGTGTTTATTCAACTCTGGCCCTTAGCAGCAGGATTGTGAGTGGAGATGACATACACAGAGAGATGATGTTTAATTTTAGTAATACTGAACTCTGCCCTTCAAATCCTGATTTGGTCTCAAAGACCAAGAGCCATGGAACTGGTTGTGAGGTTGGTGGACAGAGCTTAGGAGTTGTATTCAGAATAGGAAAGAAGCATTCAGAAATTCAGACAGCTTTTAAAAAATAGACCAAAAGATATGACCACGCAGCTGAGGCCTGTCTTATCTCTGCATTTTGTTACAAAGCAAATTGTTTTCTTAGGGCTTCCAGATGAACGCTGACATTTTGCATTTTATCACCAATATTAAACTTACCTCTCAGCCGTAATGCAGGTTTAACTGGGAAAAGGTCAATCCCCCTTAGCACCCTGAGCCTCCTGGATCAGCCAAAACCCAAAACAGGAAGGCAAACAGTGAATTCTGTGATCTGAAATGGGCATCAGGGACGTGAGTCTGATGGGACTCTTATATTGCTCTTTTATTCTTAGAATATATTAGCAGGATTTATGCAGCTTACAGGAGCCCAATAGCTCCTCATGCCACCTCCATTTCATTGCTGTTCTACATATATATTGGTTTCAGCAGTGCAAAGGAAAAGGAAATGAAGTGCACATGGCATGCATGCAGAAATGCAGCCGAAAGGAATGCTGCCTTGTGAAACAAGGATCTGATGAGACCTGTGCTCTATGATCTCAGCCTCACCGTGTTTGCCGCAGGGTTTCACTGGCTCTGATGATGACTGCTGTACTTTCTGACGAATGCCAGGAATGCAAGGCTGTCTGCAAACGCTTGAGCACAAATAAAACATCAAATCTGCCAAGGAGTTAGGAGGGTGATGCCTTAGCTTAGGGTGGCAGAAAGGTGCTACAGTGCTGCACTGTTGTGAAGAAATGCTATCCAGTCTGTGGTGTGGGATACAGAGAGGGAAAAGGCTTTGGTGTAATTCTGTTTCCTGTCACCACCTTAAAACTGCCCTTCTCTACCTCTCCTCCCTTCTGACAGCTATCATGCCCTCACCACCACTGCTTTACTGGAGTTTCCAGTCTGTCTGACTCATCTACAGGCCTCTCCTACAGTCCCTTCTGTACCTCTCCTCCCATCAGCTGAAAGGGTGATGGGTTTTGGTGCTGTCCTCTGGATATCCCCCTCCTTTTAGGGCTTTTAAGGAAGGATTTATTTTTAAAGATTCCAAAAGGAATCTCTAGGAGGCCTCCAGCTGCCTTCCAGCCCAAAGATTGACCCTGCCCTAGCCAACATTTCCTTGTCCATGTGTTTGCAAAAGGAGGGTATTCCTTCCTGGGTCCTTCCGAAAGTGTCTAAAGGGATGATGGAGGCTGTAGGGTTGAGGGGAGAGCTTTTGAAGGGCACAAAGCAAAATGTCAGCTCTGTATGTTCTCCACTTGTTTGCTCTTGCACTTTGTGCCAGCACAGAGGAGTTCTGCTATATTAGGGCAGCCTGTGTGTTGTAAAGCTGGACTCTTGAAGGAGCAGCCTGATTCCTGGCAAGGAGAGACAAATATTCCCAAAGGATTTATCACCATGTGCATCCCAGATCTGTCTCACTCAGAAAGGGGCTTTTTCCTTCTGTCAGTGAAGCTGCCAGGCTCACAGCTGCTGAGAAGCAAGGGGTTTGAAGCTTCTGACAGCTGCATCAATTGCATAGAGATCACCTAAACAACCAGAAACAAAAATAAACAGTAACAAAACAATGATTGAAAACCTCCCTCTACCATTCAAGTAGAAGCTTTACTTTCCCACTGTGGATTCCATTTCTTTCTCCTTCCCTCTTTTCCCTGCATTGTCCTTTCACCCTTTTAAAACATCTAAATGAAGAGAGGGGGAAAGAGCAGAGGAAAACAGCTCAGTAAAAGCCTGAAGGCAGCGAGGAGGTTTTTCTGCTTCTTCTCCATGGTACCAAACGAGAAGGCTGCAAATTTTCTTCTGCTTTACGCTCCTGCTCTGCAAGTGTTTGTGGTTACAGTTCTATGCTGGCAATTTCTGACCTGTTGTTTTGCTGCTGTGTTTGTCGTGTCGTGAAATAAGTCCACACCAATGCACACAAGCCCTTTCAATCCCAGGCACTGCCTCCAGCTCTGGGCTCTTCCCTCAGACTTACAGATTGCAGGGTCTTTTTGGGCACTCGGAGTATTCTGGAAGACATAAAGAAAGGAGCAGAGGGTGTTGGAGCCAGCAGCAGAACAGAGGCACCGCTTAGAGCTGCAGAAGCAGGAGCAGGAGGCTGGGCAGCGATGACGGCCAGATTTAATGGGGAGGAGCCAGGGCCAGCACGGCACTGGGGCTCAGCGCTTGGCTCCAGTCAATGCATTGGGTGCGTGGATGCGGGAGAGAAATAAATGAAGAGTCATAGCGAAGACATCTTTGCAGCCAAGGGAAAGGGAACTGACGTTGGGGATCGCTGGAGCGGGGAGCAGAGGGAGCCTGCTGGGTCTGCCTTCCACCCGCAGCAAGCTAACATCTGGGCACAGCTGTTTCCCGGAGCCCTTTCTGCCGCTGCACGTCGCCTTCTTTGGCGGCCATGGAGTCGAATGGCAGTTTCCTCGGTTGCAACAGTAAGTCAGTAGACGGGTCCTTGCATTTCAGCCCTCCAAGAGCTTTCTTTTCTCCTCCTCTCTCCTCCCTCCTTGTTTTGCTTCTGCAGCTCTGTCATTTGGAAGTCACGCAGTGTTCAGTTGTGTTACAGGAGACAGACAACAGATTTTTCTCTGTTAATACGGCTAGCTGTGCTGGTAGGATAAGTCTTGGCTGGTAAGCGTGTGTGAGTCCAGAAAAGTTGTTTCAAATCTCCTCCTCCTTTTTTTTTGTGAAAGTGGGATGGATGCTCCCTGGGTCAACTCCCTGGGCTCTGGAGTAGGCAGCAGAGCTGGGATAAATCCCCTTGGCTCTGAGCCTGCCCCCAAGGCTCTGTAAATGCTCAGTGAAATATAATGTTTCTACAAAAAGAAGAAATCCTCTCTGCACTGACAGCAAGTGAGGTTTGAGAAGTCTCAGTGCCAAAACTAGGAGGCTTGTCTGATAGAGTAAAGAAACATCTCTTATTCCCTGGGCTGAATTTAGTATATTGATTTGTTACATCTTTCTTGTGCTTCACTCATTCTGATGAGCAGCAACAGCTCAGGACCGTGATAGCTGCAGCCTGAAATGGGAAAAATCTACAGTACTTATTTTTAGTTCATGAGATGGATGCTTTCTTTCTGCTGACTGCAGCTATAAATGAAAACAGATTAATAGAGCAATCAGTGATTGACCATCATAAGGTAAAATAAGAGAAAACTACCCCCAAGCTCAGGAAATCTTCCCTCTGATTACCCCAGATCCCAGAAATCAGACAGGAAGGTGAAACAGAGGTTAATGTTGAACTTTTTGTAGGTATCTCATTCATTATAGAACCGTTGGGAAAAGAAAGCTAAGCAACACATCTGGAACTATTAAAAGCTTTTTTATTCTGGCGTGTGGATCGTTTTTCAGTGAATATGACTTCCTTTCTGGGGTTAGGGACCAAGAAGAAGTCAGTGTCTGTTCGTCTATTTTCTTGTCTTGGGCAGAAAAGTACACACGTGGTCAATAAGCCAAGCTTTCAGAAATCTATTTACTGAAATTCCTTGACAGGTATGTGCACAAGTGCCAAAGTCACTCTGCATGCCAGACTGCTTAAACAAGAAAAGTTGCTCACAGGTTGGTTTGCTAGCAGGATCAGATCTGTGCTGTTCAGTTTGCTAGAAATGTTTCAGATGCTGTGAGTTATGCATATGTTTATCTATGGCCCTCTGCTGAAACTCCATTTATTTCTGTCCAACAGAGATACAATGATGACTGTATTTGCTGTATCAGAATTAACCATAGACACATGGTTCTTCTGTCTCAGTTCAGTATCTGGCAGTCAGAGATGACATATTTTCCAGTACTGAAAGTGGACATTACTGTCAATGAGAGCTTCTGAAAAGTTTGTGGAGTGCTGTTTGTGCTGTGTTTGGATGGAGATCTGTGTCCTGGAGCGGAAACTGAGCATGTTCCCCTCCCAGCATACAGCCACTGTGATTTTGTGGATTGTGCCTCTTATTTTGCAAGGGTTTAATTCAGCTGTATGGGCTACTTGTTGCTTCTTTTCTAAAGTCTCATCTACATTTGTTATGCAGTGAATCTCTGCTGGGCTCCATAGGCTATTAATAACCTTTGTTTTGCCTCATGAACCTGGCATGTTTCTGAACTGGGAGTCCTTGTGCTCACACAGATCGTAGAATAGCTGATTTGTGCTATGTCTTATTCTTATACACTGACCTCTTCATACAAGACACTGTGTACATTGTGCCCAGAATGCCAGAGCCCCGTTACAGGAATGGCTTCTGCCACAACCCAGGGTGGGAGTCAGCAGGGCAGGGTTTGTAAAATCCTACAAAACAGGCCATTTCCTTGTTTCTTCTGTCAGCTGGAATAACTGCTGGATGTAAATTTCCAAATGAATCATCTCCACCTGCCCTTCTTAGCTGGGAGTGCTGAGCGGGCTCCTCCAGGGCTTCAGCCTCTGTGGGTGGAGGTGGTGCAGCTTGGGATCAGCTGGGATCTGCTCTAAAGCAGCTGGTGGCTTTGATCTCCTTTCCTACAAACAAAATGTGCCCAGCACACCCGGTTTGGTGTGAGTTACACCAGGTGTGTTATCTGGGAGCTTGTTAAGCTGTAACTTTGCTAGTAGTGCAGGAGAATTCATCATGCTGGCACTGCTCAGTGCGTTGAACACGCAACTTTTCTATTTTTCTGGATGAGTAAAAGTTGTCTTATTTTAAGAAGTTGTTATTATTCTCACACAAAAGCTACTAAATTTCCAGTCTGAAAAATGTTTTTTTTTTACTAAACTACTCCTTTGGGGATAGGCCTCTTCTCTCAGGTAGCAGTAATGGGATGAGAAGTAATGGCCTTAAGTTGTACCAGGAGATGTTCAGGTTGGATATTAGGAACAATTTTTTCTTAGAAAGAGAAGGGCACTGGCACAGTCTGCCCAGGGAGGTGGGTCACCATGCCTGGAGGTGTTCAAGAACCGTGGAGATGTGGCACTGAGGGACATGGTCAGTGGGCATGGTGGGGGTGGATTGGGGTTGGACTTGGGGATCGTGAGGTCTTTTCCAACCTTAGTGATTCAGTGGATAGCCCACAGTTGGTTCTGAGACTTTTGCCAGTGTGTGCAGCCTCTACATCAGATCCAAAAGAGGATGAGTAGAGATTTTAAAGAGGAAATGAAAAGAGGAGGAAGAAGGAAATGTAGTTATTTGGAACAATGCTGCAGGTAGTAGAGATGAAAGGAAGGGAAAAGCAAGAGAGAGGTGTGGGGAAGAGCTTGTGCAAGGTCAGGAAACTCGGCCAACTGGATAAGCAGCTCTGGGAGCCAAAGGTGTTGATGATTTGGGAGCAAAGTATAGTTTCCCTCACAGGGAGATCAAAATATATAAACAGGTATTTACAGGGAATGCTATAGATAAGTACTTGTTGAACTGAGCATCCAGGGTGAGATTTAGCTGGCTAAATGCAGGTACCTGCAGGAAAATTCAGGCTTATAGGGTGTAAGCAGATGAGTCTCCTGTCCCCTTGCTCAGTGCAATGTAGATTCTTCAATGCAGCCAGACAGACCTCCAGGCCATGCACCCCCCAAGTCCTTACCATGGGTTGAGGGTCTCAGTCCTTAGTCAAGCCCACCAGAAAGGAAGGCTGCAGACCTTGGGTCAAGCGTGAAGGTTTCTCTTTTTCCTTATGCAGGTAGAGAAAATGTTGGCACAGTTTCATCTAAACTGAGATAATTCCAGACCTTAATGAGTCAATTTGGACAACATGTGTGGAGAAATCTGCATACCTTGGCCTGACCCTCACTTGGGTGCCTTCTTAAGCCTTGTGTTGACATAAACACAGAAAGTTTTGTTGTCTATTTCTGACTAAAGTTACAGGGTCCTGAAATTCCAGACAAAGCATGTAGGGAAAAAAAAAGTTTGTTTTTTTGTTTCCCCTTAGTTTTGCATAACTCAGTGCTGCAATGCAATTATTGCACAAATTTTGCCCTGCTGTGGAATGATTTGAGTGACCCGCATTTCGACTGTGGAGGATATTTCAGCTTCTGAAGAACCTGTTGAGAAAAGCTGTTAAGTGTCCTTAAAAAATGAAGCTGGGATGCACCTACAGTTGATTTTGGTTTTTATGAAGAGAACATCTTCATCAGCGTGTGCTGAGAAACATGACTTAGGAATTATGCAAGTAAGCTGTTGCTGCTGGTCCTATCGATCAAGTTGTCATTCTTCTCTTAAATTACTTTCCTCCCACTGTCTTCACACCAGCTACTGGAAAAGCTGTAATTTACTTTGAGCCAGTGATGGTTTTAGTGCCTCTTTATAGCCAAATCTGCTTGTGTGCCATTGTGGAAGGACCAAACCAAACTCTGATCATAGGACCAAACGTCTCATCGCTGGGCAAGAGAGAGGTAATGACTTTAAACTTCACCAGGAGAGATTCAGGTTGATGATCAGAGGGCTGGAGCACCGCTCTTATGATGAAAGGTTGAGGGAGTTGGGATTGCTTAGCTTGGAGAAGGGAAAGCAGGGAAGACATCATTGTGACCTTCCAGTATTTGAAAACAGCTTACAAGCAAGAGGGAGACTGAATTATTACTCAGTTAGATATTAATAGGACAAGGAGGAATGGAGTTAAACTGAAAGAGGGGAGGTTTAGGTTAGATGTTAGGAAGAAATTCTTCACTTGGGGGATGATGAGGTACGGGAATAGGTTGCCCAGAGAAGCTGTGGATGCCCCATCCCTGAAGGTGTTCAAGGCCAGGCTTGATGGGCAGTCTGATTTAGTGGCTGGCAACCTTGCCCATGGGAGAGGGGTTGGAACTAGATGGTCTTTGAGATCCCTTCTCAAGCCATTCTATGATTTTATGACATTGAGAAAAACTCAGAAAGAGTGGTGAGGCACAGAACAGGCTGCCGGGGGAGGTGGTGGGGTCACCATCCCTGGAGATGTTCAGGAGCCATGGAGATGTGGCACTGATTGCCATAGTCAGTGGGCATAGTGGGGTGGGTTGACAGTTGGTCTAGATGATCTTAGAAGTCTTTTCCAACCTTAATGATTCTATGAAATTTTTAGTCTGGTTTTGAGTTCCTGGATGCAAAGAACTTTAGTAAGGAGTTTTATTTGGATTACATCAAGAGTGCAGGAAGAAAGCAGCAGCTTTTGATGGGTCACAGACAGTCCTGCGCGTGGATCCAGGCTGTCTTTGAATGACCCAGACTGGCAGGAAGCCATGAAGAAAAAGGTGGCTTGGCTATGAGGACTGAGTGGAGGACAGCTGAAAAAGGGGAAATTGTCCTCCTAAAGCATACAGGGAGAAATGAGCCTGAGAAATATTGGACAGGGTGTCAGCAGTGATCCCAGTGCACCAGAAACCTGCATGTCATATGGATTCTTGATGCCAGTGGAAGATTTTAGGCAGCAATATGAAAGACAGATGCAGTGTGATGCTTGGGAACAATTGCTATATGAAGCTTGAGGATCACCTGGCTTCTGCATAGCAAGA